CTTACGCGTCTTATCATAGTCCGGAATACAGATCTGTGAGCGTCTATGTGTACAACCGCTGCTTCTTCAGATTGAGATTTGACATCTGCGATTGTTTATGCATATGCTGCAAACGTCTCCAGAAAGGAAGACAAAACAGATATTTGTTTTTTCAGCGATCAGCAGAAGGCCCAGGGTTAAGCCAAAATTAACCTGATGCAAGTGTATGGAAGGAATGGGGTCCAGACTCAAGTTGTCTTCCGCCGAAATTCAAACTCCATCACAGGATCAAGCACGTTTGAAGCACTTGCTTACCGTCTGCTTCCGCGACTCGAAAGAAGAAGCGGTCGTGGAAGATGAAGATGATGATAATGAATTTTCAAATTTGAAAAAAGTTCAGATTCTAAAGAAGTTTTCCCTTTTCAGTATTTCGTTATAAATCTTTAGCTTGCGGATTTAAATTGCCATTGCATTAATTCAAAACTTTCTGTATTAATACATATGCGATGACTGTGGCGACAAAATGTTTGCACTGAAAAATTTAAGCCGCGGTCAACATATCACTCATATTGAATAATCACTAGGAATGAACAGCACTTTTAATAAAAGTAGGCAAGTATCTTTCGAGGAGGTTTCAAGCGGAGTGATACTTTAACATTTCTTATGTAATTTATCGAAATCAACACGTGTTTTATTTTGATTCAGAGTCATATGAAGTTGAAAGCGAATTGACTTGTGTCACAGCTGTCTAATCTATGGCAAGATCTCCAGCAATCCTGCATTTCGTAGTTGTGAATCGTAATCAGGAGGGGTCAAACTTGGTGTATTATTCGACTACTTATGCCCCGTTTGGATGACTAATTTAATCGTAACTCGATTCGGCACTTGGACTTAAGTTGCCAAATTGGGTAGTACTGATGTTAATAGTACAAATGCACAAAAGAGCTTATTGGATGGCACTACGTTCTAACCAGTGCTTTTTTCCGCTTGAATGTTCTTAGGATGACACATTAGCCCCTTAAATAAGCAGTACGGATACATGCAACAGTTGTCTTAGAACTCTGAATATCCGCTGCCTTTTTAATGAATAAAGTCAAATATGATCCATTAAGTGATCTGTTCAACTCTGCCGATTGGCTTAAGGGTAGCACATCCCCTGGTTTCACCGCTAGCAAGATAAACAAAAATTTTAATACACTTCAAACGTCTAAATCGATTAGTCACTTGATATTGCAGCCATTCGAAGAGAGGTCATCAACTTCATTTGCCGATAGGCGGTCAATTCTTCGTGTCACTGAATTATTTATCTTCGTAAATATTTCCCTTACATTTTTGCTGCGAACAAGGTTATTTTGCCTTGATTTAAGTAGATTATTTTGCATTATAATTTTGTAGCTAAGCTGCAGGAAACTTTTCATCATTACGGATTCCTCAGATAGCTTCATTAATATTGGTCTTTGCAAGTTTCCAATAGAAAGAATTTAATACAACCTACAATTTCTTAATAACGGTCGATATCCCCTTCGGTAGTTTCGCCCCAAAGCTTTATTAAGAGTAATTACGATGCAAAACAATCATTTAAATTACTTTATCATGAGTTCTATGAACTGCTTAAGTAAGATTCGCAGGCTGAGCTTCTCACGAAACATTAGTTCACGGGAGTCGATCGCTTGTTTTTGATAGCATCAGCTGCGTATTATCTTTTTTCTTTTTACACCGCGGTATTCATTTATTCTGTGAAGGATGAAAGACGAGAAACTGTAGGTCCACAAATTTGTAATCTTTCGACTGATGGATAAAGTAAATTACCCTGGCACTTTGGCAGACCCCGTATCTGAATTCAACCTCTCAAGCTTTCGTACGCTTAAATTGTTTTTCGTTCAGTTCTAAACTACAATACTGCAGGTACCAGTAATTGTTCGACACAGTTCGATAAGGGCTAGGCCACATTTTAAGCACCTTCCACGCAATTGTACCGGTCTGTGAAACAACGGCAAAAACAACTAGTTCATAAAGACTTGTAGCAGCTAAAATTACAATAAATTTGTTTTATTTAAAACTGACAGTAAATATTAAACAATCTTTACAAAGCCAGTCTTAACGTAGCTTTGCATTCTAAAGCTCGTCTTTACCCTTTAAACCATCCCTGCTATTCGTCCCTGGTTTTACGTCCGAGTATCTTAACACAGTCGCGACAATTTCTCCAACATCTTGGCTAACAATACTTAAACCATGAACATCACGTTCATCTGCATCTGACATTTCGGTTTTCGTATATAACCGAAGAGTTGGAAATTCCTTAATGCTGGTCTTCTGGCAAATGTCTTGGCTTGTTACGCAGTTAACCGTACCGCAATGTACCTTGCCTTTGAGAATCTAAATTTGAACAAATCATTACATCAGCGACCAATAACGATGAAATCTAACAAGCTCTGATTTGTCGCAACTCATAAAACTTAAAAATGCCCCGAGGAAAATGAAGACTTTAAAAACATATTGTTGTCTTTACTATCGAACCTGCAGATCAGAAACGAAATAAAGAAACCTCTACCCTTTCACATAACTTGTGAACGCTGGCTATTAAGCAGGATTAAAGTGGAAGCATTTTTCCAAGAACGATTATGGGCGCACAAACAGAGCAATGGTTAAAACATACTCATAAATGAAAACAGCTGCCCACGATGAAGCAGAAGAACTAGTAATGATAGAATAGTACGGCGAGGAGGATATGAATTCCTAATTAATAATTTTTAGTTACCCACATAGCAACCAATTTCATAGAAAAACAGTAAAGAAGTAATATCATCTGCCAGGTTCCATGTTCTTGATGATGACTGGTTAGTGCTCAACCAAAATTATTCATTAAGCAAAACACTTATCGCTAAGCCTGAATACAAATTAACCTATGCGAACCTTTAGCAGCCATCAAATAAAAAGAACGCAAGAAATTAAATGCTGTGATTTGCCATATAAGTGAGTAAACTGCATACAAAACTAAGGTATTATTGATTGATCGCATCGAAACAGCGTTTCAGCATAAGTTCATTGATTAAGGGATAGCATGTAACTGTAATCATTACCGAAATGTAAATGAAACCAACATGCCACCGGCTATGCACGTTCTCTTCGCTATGTTTTTACTATAAGTCGTCGTAAAGAGATAGGATGCCACGAAGAAAAGTTGTCTGCATCAGTCCTTGAGCAAAACCGAATGAAATGAATAGTATGATCAA